GTTTCGTCGAAACGAAGTTACGGAAAGTTAATTAACAAACGGAAACGTAACAATACTAAGGAGGGGCATTGTTGCGTCAGCAAGGTCACGTGACTAGTATCACGCCAACTCTTTCCAGAAATATCCTGTTCCTTATTGAATGCCCTAGCGTTTACTAGATTAGTGTTAGTCTTGTATATATACTACGGTCACAACGTGACGGGGCGATGAGTAATTGAATGTATGCTGACAGAGAGAATATTGTTGGGCAAGTGAGACGGTCGTTAAGAATTATAGCGTTTGTTATAGAGCGACTGTTGAAATTAAGTGTATCGTAAAGTTGTATTCGGAAAGAATAAACCAGTTTTATTTAAGAAAGGACTTGTGTCGCTAAAATTTCGTCGGAACGAATTTGCGGAAAATTAACTAATGAACGGAGACGTAACAGTATTATCACCTTTCTCTCGGTAGTGTTCTCAAGAGATATGCGTGTTTAAAAACAACAACAACAAAAAACAAACAAACTGTGTGGTGTTCGCTATGTTCAATGTACAATAAAATAGGTAGCATTGTTCGGTATTTGAATGACTTTTACATGAAAGTGAATTAATCAAAATGGTTTCAGTAGAATTTTATTCACATTCAATATCGTTATTATTTTATTGAAATCATGATTTTTTATTTTTTTCTTCCTATCATCACTTAAGTCTCATGAAAACTGAAACAGTGAAAGTCAAGATGTCTTCTGTCTCTACATTTATAACTGGGAAATTTCGGGGTTGTTTGGTAGGCTCCCTTTTGGGAGATTGTCTTGGATCGCCTTTTGAAGGAGATTTTCCTGTATCTAAAAATGTTCTCGCAAACTATTTCACAAATTTATTGAAAAGTGAGAGTGCTAAGGGTATGTTATGGTATTCAGTTATTGCATAGGCGAACGACGTGACGTAACTTATGTACATATAATTTAGTGGACACTGTTGGTCAGTCTAGGCTGTCCCATCTGCTAAACTAAACTAAACTTGAAAACACTGAAAGCCAGCCCTTACAATTCAAATATTTTTTAACATTTCATTTTATTAACTGCATCAACCACATTTGAAGGTAACCCATTCTAAACTAAAAGTAAAGGCCTACACCCTGTTAGTGTCACTGTTAGTAAAATATAGATATGTAACTTGAATATGACTCCTACCCTGCCAGAATTTGTGTTCCCATTTTCTACCATTCTCACCATTTAATGATGATTCATTATGAAAAAAGATGATGCATCAACACTATCAATTTCCTTAATGTTCTTAAACATTTCAATCAAATCCCTACTTTCAATCTCAGGTATCATCCTAGTAGTAGTAGCCCTTCTCTGAACCCTTTACAGCAATTCAATGTACTTCCTAAGGTAAGGAGCCCATGATTGAACACAGTGTTCTAAATGTCGCCCAACTGGTGACATATGCAATGAAAGTATAACCTCTTTAGACTTGCATTCATAAAAATGCTAAGTAACTCAAATTTAAGCCCAAAGCCGATACTGACAGAGGCAATAATAGCACTCGTTTTAGTAGAAACACTAAATAGAAGATTAGTACAGATTAGCTGTTATTATAATCATTCTAAGCAGATTATAATACAATGGAGTCATAGTACAAGTAATATATGTACTGATAAAATGAATTATTATGATTTCAATTTTTTATATTATGATTGTAGTTATTGACAGACTTTGGATTACGAGAGTCTCAAGGTATCTCTGCTGCTCCATGTGACAGCTGTATAGTTATCCCATGTGCATATATAGAGGACAGTGTGTGTTATAATGAAATTATTTGATGAAACAGTAAATAACCATCTGGACTGATTTTACTACAGGAAATAATAAGACGTTGGCTTGATTTATCATGTTCTGAATTAGAGATGTAGAAAAAATTTGTAGATATTAAATGCAGACTATATAATAAATAATAATATCTGATCAGAGTAAGTTATATACAAAAATTTAATCCGGCCATAATTATAGCTAATTAAATATACTTTTCTTATGTATCTACTTATAAAGAGTGCTTTGTTTCATCAGATTGTTATTTTTGACCACAAACACAATAACATCTCATGAGGTTCAGTAAGTGTAGGAGATTTAGGTTAGCTCTAAATACAAATTCTAAGTTAACAATGCAACTCAATCTTTATAATACATATTTAATTATTAATGACAAATTTGAATAAAACAAATGTAGTTACACTTGATTTAGTAAGTCGTATACCAAAATTATTAATCAAAGGAAAAAAAAAGCATATCTTACTTAGGGAGCCCCAAAACACTAGCCCCTGTCTTAAATAACCTAGTCATACTTTTAGTAATAACAATTTTGTTGGGATGTTCATGTTCTAACTCCGTCTTTCACAATTTCATATTAAATGGCAGAAATTAACAACAAAAATGTGATGTTTGCTGTAGGTTACACACCGTTTTTTACTCCAAGAAACATAACTTACAACAAATACTTTATTTCAGATATAGGATTTCACCATTTTGTGCTTATTTTTTATTCAGAAACTAAACATTTATTGTTTTAAGTTTCATATTTAAAATGTTATGTATATGAGTATATGTGGTTTTTCCACTCTATAGGACCTCTTAAGCCGTATACAGATGACACAGCGATGACAAGATCAGTAGCTAAATCTTTGATTGAAAGAAGAACATTGGATGCACATGATATGGCTAAAAAGTATGTAATTAATTTTATAAACACTTCTGAAAGAGTTTGAATATCTCTTTGACGAAGCACCAATTCTTTGCATTTATACACAAGACAAGATTTTAAATGAGCAATGTACATATGCTAAGGTATATTTTATTCTTGTGGTAGCCTATGAACATTTGAATGAGCTATTATTTGATTATATATTATGAATTTTTGTTCATTCTACTATTAAAAAGTTTAATAATGGATTAAACATTGTTATTGCACTAGGTTTGTTTCTAAACTTTTGTAAATGTAAAATCTTCTAATAATGTATTCGATATACAGTGATACAGTATATACAGCTCTGATTAATTCTTTGGCTAAATAGCAGAATAAGTTATTATGTATGCATTATTTTAAAATATTTTGTAAATTTTTGTATCACTATCTAGATATCACTAAATTTTTTAAATTTACCTTACATATGTATATAAACATCTTAAATCAAGTGTATCAACCAGTTATATGTACTCTCAGAAAAATAAATGCAACTACACATATGGCTACTTCACAGCAATAATACTAATAATCGTGACACGTTCAAGCTATGAAAAGCATTACATTTGCTACAACAAAATCAGTATTTATTAGTACAAAGATATGGCACTAGTTAATGGCACAAGTTTACAAGTGTTAAAACTGATATTAAGCAAACATTCATTCAGTAACTTGGTAACGAGCTGCCAGTGATATTGGGCTGGTACACCAGCTATCATTGTATTATAGAACCAAGGAGTTTTATAGGAGTTATCACCATTAGTGCTTCAAATGCCTTATAATTTTCAGAATTACAGTGTTGAATTTATGACATAGCTCAGTCAGTAAACTGCTCACATATTCACCTCTGACTACTTGCCAGTGTAATGTAATCAATAACACTTTTTGTTTTTTACAATAAAAGTATGGAATTCATGTCATATTCAAGGGTATAGGTAAACTAGATAAATATGGTAACAGGATAAAAATAAAGAGACATCTTTTAATAAACAATTACCAGATATTTTAGGCAATATATAACCTGATAACTGAGATTTTTTGCAGAATATGATTTCTTATTATTTTATATTTTTGTAATAATGAAACATTGATTCACTTTGGGACTTGACTCAAATGGCCCCTTTGCAATTTTATGTCTTACCCCCCTATTTTATTTTCATTTGTCATTCGGAATCTTTCACACATTATTTCAATTGAAATGTCAGGAATTGGGATTGATTTTTGTTTTGGCAGAAGAATCTTATCAATATTGATTATTCAAAAATCAAAAGTATTGATGATTGCGGTATCAGAATCATCTCACCTTCAAATCAAACCAATTCAAAACTCTAATTATTAGTCTCCTAAACTTCCGTTTATGTTTTGTGAATGTTGTTACTCAAGTTTTGTTTCTGACGTATTCTTTGTACATATTATATGTTTAATGACTTAATGTACAAGGTTTGACAAATGCAGTTAAAGTTAAAGAAGGAGTATCAGATTTATTTGTTGTATTTGTTATTATTACATTGAAATTTTATAGGTTTACAGATGAATATTTCAAGCAGCCTAAACGAGGGTATGGATTTAATGTTGTTGATGTATTTAAAGCATTAAAAACAAGACATTATTGTAATGTATTTCAACCAGCAAGGGAGTTGTTTTCTGGGAATGGTTCGTATGGCAATGGAGGAGCCATGCGGGTGGCACCAGTAGCATTGTTTTGTTATACACAGGATAAAGAAACCCTTATAAAGGTAAGACTTGTTCATATATTGATGATTAGTTATGTAGTCACTCAATGATAACCAAACACCAACTGAATAATTCACTGTATAGCCATATCAACTTTGTATATGTATGTGCTGAGTTCTGTAGAGCTAGTTATTTGGTATAAAATTTACTTCTTACAGATGTAGACATAAAGTATAGGAAATTTTCCTTCAAATGTGTTAGTTATCAATGTTAGCTATAAATGTGGATAGAAATTTTTATTCATCTGAATTCTTTGAATTGAAGGATATGAAGTTTCTGCCAAAGTCCTTCAGAGAGAGGTTTAAGTTAGATAACCATCACATGACAAAAGTATATTGTTCTACTCTATAAGTCAATAGCTTTCTTTTAGTTAGGTTACTGTGTAGAACAGTAGAACAGTATACTTTTTTTATGGAATGCACCCTTTCTAAACATGCATTTTATTATCTCCTTCATCCTGTATCAAAAGAAAACAAATCTTAAAATGGTACAGATTCTAAGGCAAACAGTTTCAGTTTACTCACCAGTTTAGGATAAAAGATGGACTTGAGCTTGGGATAAGGTGATGTCCATTTTTGGCTGAGTTGTTGATGCAGCAACTTAGAGACCCCACTCTACTTGCAGGTGAGATTGCTATTTTGATTATTGTTACAGCAGAAAACACTGACTCACACGAGTATGATGATCTAAAAGACAAAAGCACATTCATCACTTTTCTTGACAGGACAGGGTATGCTTTGCAATTTAGCATCCAGAAATTCCCAAGAGGTTTCGACTTGAATTCTTCCTAAAGAGTTTTATCACTGGAACTTTTATGTCAGCAGAGAATACATCTATACACCTTTAAACAGTGTCACATGTTAAAGGGCCTCACCATTCCTCTCTCCATACATGATCTCACACATGCTCATTCATTCTCTTATATTAAATATAGTGTTACGACATCGAAGGTCACGTGACGTAGTATCACGTCTACCAC